ATGAGCTTCGCGATTTTAGATCTAAACATGAAGAAATGGAACGAGATTGTCTTGGGTTTGGATCAGTAAATGAAGAGAAAATCACTCTCAATCCGAACGTTTCATCGTATAATCGGTACTTATGTGAAAAGATGCTCTTTAACGACATAGAGTATATACACTACTTCCGCAAAAAGATGGAAAATGTTAAAATGACCGCGCCCGCCAACAGCACTGCGGATGGGAATAAAAATAGAATACATTCTGGGCATGCGCAGGAAAGAAATGAAGTTCAGTTAAACAGAAACGAGACAGAAGCGAGCGTGGTTTCAACGCGATGATTTAACAGTAAAAACTTTATATTTAATCTTATTATCTTACACTTCGGGTTGTGCCAGTCCCTTAAATTCATTATTCGAAATTTCTTTTAGGGAATGTTACTTATGTCTTTACTACAAAAAGATAACAAAAAACAGAAGCTCCGCAGACTCGGGTCCAAGGCATACAAACCCGTCTCTGTCTGATCTGAAAGTGTACGCTGAAGAATTTAATTAAAATTGAGTATGCTTTTTGTATTCCAAAGATTTTTTTGCAACATTTGCACCGCATAACACCAATCTTAGGTGACAATGGAGAATTTTTAACATTCTCTCCGCATTTGTTGAGATCCCACGAGAGACCCCGCATATTGTCGCCTGAGAGATGTTTGACTAAGGCAACGTTCACATGGCACTGGACGAATTTTCGTTCTGTTCTGCTAGGCATCTTTAACTTCATACTGTTAAGGTGGTTCCTTATGAACGGAACACGAACAGTTGAATCTAATTTGCAAAAGGTCCAAAACCGTACGAAATCTTGCCTATAGAAACGTGTCGCTAGTAAATGCACATTTTTCTGGGACCCGCGATTTTACGGGCGACGCGCATCTGTAGGCAGAATTCCGTACTGGGCAGTAATGCCGAATTTATTCCTAACACAAAAAGCTCTATCTAACCGAAAAGTGTGGCTTGTGATTAGAAAAATCTTCAGACTGCTGAGGCGCTTCGAACTGAGTTACGAATGTTGGAAAAGCAAATTAAAGTGCGAGAAGGGTTGATGCGGTTTCTTCTCCTTCATTAACATGGACGTGGTTCTGCCCACCGCTTTGATCCAGTTGTAACGGTACATTCTCACAGTCAAAGCCGACCTGAGGAATACAGGGTAGCGGCATTAATCCTGCATTCACCTGAGAACTTACAATAGTAAACTGTTCGGCATTAGTGCAACTTAACTGCAAGTGATCTCCAATGCTCTGTGCCGCTGTTTCAGATACTCCAGTGTTCCTCAAATTGAAGAGTCCCGTTTGTCCTTCAGGAATCGTTCCCAACAACAAAAGGCTCGCCGCACCTTGATGTTGAATACCTACTTGCGTTAAATCATCATCCCCTTGATGTGAACGTTCGGTACCTATTGGTTTTGTTTGTGTGCTGGACAGCGTTTCAGTGCTTGTTATTACAGCACTAGTCCCTGTAGTCGACCCTGGGCCCGGAGCGCTGTCTATCTGCATCTGCTCTGCACCGCTATTCTGTGCAATCTCTCCCCTAGATTCACCTTCATCAGTGGTCTGCACCGCTGCAGCATTGCTTGATACGCTCTCTCGTGGACGTTGCACGGCATCGTCGCCTCGGCTTTCAGCCAGAGCTTCTTTCCTAGCGTGGACCTTCAAGTGAGCTTTAACCGAGTTTGGCTGAGTAAACCCTTTACCACAAATATCACACTTAAACGGCCTTTCTCCTGTGTGGATAATTTCATGTCGCTTGCGATGCGAGATCATCGTGAACGCCTTGGGACAATGGGAACACTTGTAGGGCCTCTCCCCGGTGTGGCTTCGTAGATGACTGGAAATATCTGAGCTGCGCCTAAACATTTTGCCGCATTGTGGGCAAGGATAAGGCTTCTCTCCGGTATGAGTACGCTCGTGCGTTTTCATATTAGCGTTCAGTGTAAAACGTTTATCACAAAAACCACACTTGTATTTTTTCTCCGGTTCATGCCCTCTGTGTTTTCTTAGGTGATATATCAGCCTTGTCTTCTCCAGAAACCGCTTGCCGCATTCCTCACATTGATGAGGCTTCTCTCCACTGTGGACGCGTAAATGCCGCTTGAGAGAGGACATCTGCGACAGACCTTTATTACAAAAAGGACACTTGAACTCCTTCTCAGATGTGTGACATCGCATGTGGTAGTTAAGCTGCGATTTCCATTTGAAATTCTTTCGACAAATCTCGCATTTTATCGCAGGCTTCTCCTTTAAAACAGGCGCCTTCTGCTTCTTTGCTGGGATATATCTTCCCTTTTTTTCTGAGGCTTTGGCGTTATTCTCTTTACCCGTTGTCTTGTCAGCAGTTTGTTTTTGTTTCTCAATACTTATATCATCACTTTCTGCTGTTGCCATATTTTCACTGCGCCTTTTCCGAGAAGAAGATGATTTTGATTCATCATACTGTTTTTGAATTTCTCGTCTTCTTGTCTTCGCGCCTTTGGACGCTGCCTTTCTTCCAGACGTTTTCTTTAAAGCTTTATTGCCGTCCGTGGCTCTCTGCCCATCTTTCTTTGCGTCACCTGATTCCTCCCGAGTACTCGACGAGACTGATTCTGTTGGCGCAACACTTTTACTCTGAACAGTTCCATTCTGTTTAACCTTCCTAACAGTTCCGCCGCGAGATCTCGAGGCACTAGAAGTTGAAGTTCGTTTTGTTTCTTTAGTTCTCTTAGGAGTCAATGATTTATTGGCTGCAGCATTCTTAACAGTTTGGGCTTTAGACAACGGCCTTCCCCGAGCTTTTGTTAAACGTCCCTTGCTACCGACCTTGCTAGCTTCCTTAACAGCATCCACAGTCGAACGTGCTTTGCTCGCGACTTTCTTGGCTTCCTTCTCTCTATTCACAGCGGCTCGTTGTCGCGTATTTACTTGTCTAGGTTTTTTCGATGCGTTGACTGTCTTATCACCGGCGAGGATCCGTTTTCGACGCTTCCCGGTTCCCAGATTGTTTGAGCTGGTTGTAGGCGCTGGTTGTACATGTACGACAACGTAAGGCGAATCCTCCACTGTATCAATTTTCGTTACACGGTTTTCAATAGCATTGGGCTCCAGGTGAACAACAACGTACGATGACTCGGTCTGACCGACAGGATCTGTCGAAGAGCCTCCATTAATGGGTGTCCCATTATCATGCGCCTCTGGCTGATGTACAAGGTAAGGTACTTGCGCTATTCCAGGGCAGCGAACTGACTTGTGCCTCAGGAGAAAGGTTGGCCCGGAAAAATCCAATTTACACACATCACAGACAAAATCATGACCTGGCGATAAAAAAAGAAAAAAATTTTAAATCAATCTTACGTGATTTAGATGCAGTGGCGGATCCAGGACCTTCAGATAAGGGGGGGGGATTAGAGGTTATCCAGACCCTGAGATAAGGAGGGGGAACGGTCTCAAAAAAACAATTTCGGCCCTTTGGGCTAAAAGTAAGGGAGGGGGACGGGCCCCCCGGGCCCCTCCCCTGGATCCACCACCGGGATGTTATACACAAGTAACATCAAATCGGATCAATTTAGGTTTCTGGGAAACTGCCCACCTACCCATCCCCTAAGCCAACATTTTGCTGTAAGTGGGCAGTAAGCGTTAATGTTGGCTTAAGGGAGGGGTAGGTGGGCAGTTTATGGCGGACATCTCTCCACAACTACCACCCCGCTTTTACCTCTCTTTTAGCCATTCTCTGACCTATTTTTATTCTGAAGGAAGCCAAGGTCAGGGTTCTAGCTGCGTTTTCATTATTAAATTGCAAAGAGTATTAAAGCACCTTTAACTGACTTTTCAAGGAATGTTAAGCCAAAACTATCTGTCCCCGGTTTTCATATTTAAGCTCAATTTATCTGACGAAAAACTACTTTAATATAATACTAGAAAAAATGCAAGGAATTTTCGAACACTTAAGCAGAAATTACTTTTCAAACGCGCTGGAAAATCAACAATTTGATTCCAACGCTTTTCATAGACTTCAAGGGGTAGCACAGACCCTCTGTGAAAATAAGCAGTGTTATGAGGAGAAATTGAATGTACGTCAGTCTACTGTACAAGAAAAGGACTCACCGACTTTTTATTTTTACGTTAAAGTGACCATAACCAAAACGTTCTTTAATTGAAAGTACACATTGTTAATTTTGCGTTTTGAACATGACACGATTTTTTTTTAGATTTTTCTTGGAACGTTCATATTTGCCGCCACTTTGTCAATCAATTCGTCTTAGTCTTCTCTTGAAAACCTCTCGGGAACAAAGAAGCTGTGAGATTGAGCAACTATGACGTGCATTAAGGGACACGTGACTTAAGACAGAAAGTAAACAAGTGTGTTCTAGAAATTTTTCTTCCAATTCACAAACTGAAATTGCTGTTAAACGGTAAAACAAGCCAATTAGATGTGTCGCAGTAAGAAGCAACAACATTAGCGAGCCTAGGAGAGGGATAAACATGCTTAAAATCCTCTGCTTCAGTTCCTTAATTTATGTCTCATGTTTTCACATACGAGCCTGCCAGTTTCGTAATCAGCGGAACGGGTAGGCAAAAACAATTTAGACTTAGAATTCTATTTTAAAAAATCTCATTTTGTTGAAAACGCGTTTTTTTTAAGAATCTCTTGTACTAATCTGTCCTTTCAGTTAACATGATAAAAATTTTTAGGTTATTGGCACTTTAAAGGAATGGTACTTCAATAACGATATGGGAGGTCATATAAGCGGAGTGGTCAAAGGATGATTTCCGTGCGTAGCCAGAAGGGTGTCCAGCTATCCTATGGACGCCCATTTTTGGAAGAAATACAAGGAAAACTCACTTAATCTCTCATAATTTTATGGGAAAACATACTCTCTGGAGGGCCAGTTTTCAATGTCTGGCTAACAGCCTGATTACAAGTGATCAACTCACTGACCCGTTTGGTGTGATGAGCCGTCCAAAGGCTTGACACAACTATCCTGATACCACACCAACAGTTCACTGCCTGCCTCCACGGGTACAAGGGTCTTGAAGTAGACCTCACCACGGTACTGCACTTGCAGAAGGTTCTGTTCTTTGTCATCGCGTGCACAATTCACAAACCGCATCCAGTTACTGTGATCTTCATCTGTACCATCAATAATATAGCTGACTGTTCCACCTTCAAAAACCTGGCAAACAAACATCAGAAGGTTACACGTTACACTGGAACAACATTTAAACCCCTTTCAATTTCAGAGTCAGTGATGCAGTCTTGAAAGGTGGTAGTAACTCTTGAGTCTGTGGATGAAGTCCTATGGTACCATAATTCAAGTGAAACCTCTTCAGCAGAACTTTCACATGGTACTATTATTTTATTTAGTATGTAGTTCTAACTGTTGAGTCTGCGGATGAAATCCTACATGTATGGTGTAACAATTCAAAAGAAACCTCTTCAGAAGTACTTTCACAATGATACTATTTATTTAGTATGTAGTCCTAACTTATAAGTCTGTGGATGATATCCTCGGGCTATGGTGTTACAATTCAAATGAAACCTCTTCAGCAGTACTTTCACATGGTACTATTTATTTAGTATGTAGTTCTAACTTTTGAGTCTGTGGATGAAATCCTATGGTGTTACAATTCAAATGAAACCTCTTCAGCAGTACGTTCACATGGTACCATCAATTTAGTATGTATAGTTCTAACTTTTGAGTCTGTGGATGAAATCCTACGGTGTGACAATTTAAATGAAACCTCTTCAGCAGTACTTTCAAATGCTACTATTAATTATTTGATATGTAGTTCTAACTCTTGAGCCTATCGATGAAATCCTATTGTGTAACAATTAGTATGTACAGCTGTAGTTCTACATTTTGAGTCTGCGGAAGAAATGACACCTTTTCAGACGTACTTTCACATGGTACCATTAGGTATATAATGTACCATCCTATTACACAAGTTATTTAAAAAGCTATGATCAAACATGGAGTAATTAACCCTTACCTCCCACATGTTCATAATGTTGGCACTCCCTTCAAAATTCATTTCCTTCAAAGGTATCTTCTGTCCTCGGAAGGGTCCAAACATTGCTCGTTTTTCAATCCTTTCCCTAGCAAACACACCCATTTGACGCAAGCAAAGATTACTGGGAAGACTGTCTCTACACGTAGATTGGGTCCCCTGTGGCACCTGACGATCATCAATCCATTCTAATGGCCCATGGTCAGGACAGTCACCAAATATGCAGGATCTGTTGCAGTCCCCACAGACTAAAAATCAAACAACAGACAGTGTTTCTTTTGTTACTTGCATATACCAGTCACATTTCTTTACCAGCTTTACTAAGCACAGACCCAGTGCGCGACAAATGCAGAAGGCAGACTTGCAGACTGGCAGGTAAAAAAATGCTTTAACAGATTCCCTATCCCTAAACTACACTTTTAGAAGACTAAGGTTTAAGGATAGGAAATCTGTAAAAGCATTTCACAACAATGCTTACCTGGTTTACCCGCCAGTCTGCAAGTCTCCAGTCTGCGTTTGTCACACACCGGCACAGACCTAACCAATCAACAGCTGGAAAATGGCACGAATGTAGATGTACACTACCTATGCTAGGAGCCCACGCCACCCTTCCCATTTCCATAATCCATGTTAACAACTGCATTGCTAGTGGAGGTGGGTGCCTGGGATGTCCAGGGGCTTCCACCTATGGCACAGCTGCTAGACAGAGTTACACCCCTATGGCTAGCAAACCCGTGCCCTCCAGCCAAGAGCCTGCATGCCAATGGAACCAGGCACCTGTCACATTGATTTATCAGTGGAAGAATAAAGGGGGTGGGAGGGATGGGGTAAAAGAATGATCCACAGGCTAAATGAAGAGAGTGGCCACAAGGAAAATGCTGTACTGAACACATGGAGGTGATGCAAGCAATGCAAACCACACATGAGCCAAATGACTGACCGCTGACCATGCCTGCGTTCCTTGTTGTTAACTATGTTACATAAATATTTTATTTAACTTCATAGACAATAGGAGTGGTCAATGACAGAGAGTGTTATGTTCTTAGTAGTTCTTATATATTATCATAAAAGTCAGGTGGTTGTGAGAAGGGGCCTATCTATATACTGTATGTGAAATCCCTCCAAGTTGCAACTGTTTTCAATTGCCATGGCAAGTAGAAAAGAATTGGTGTGACCACAATTTCAGTGAAAGCCATCAATTTAGTGATGTGTTTACAGTGTTTGAAGCAGTGTCAAAGTATATTGGTTTCATTAGTTTGTGTTTTTGGTTTGTTTAACGTTAGCATAAGATCATGAAAAATTGCACAAGTTATAATAATACTAATGATCATTTTACACTACATTTTCTTTGTGACCTCCTCCATTACCCTTAAGATGTAACATATCCCTCCAAATATAATGGTGAAGAGATAGGAAGCCATTTCAGTTATTTTGGCTCAGCTACTTCAAAAGACATGTAATATGGCACTTTTTTGGTGACCACTTTAAACATTGATTTATGTATTTTAGGTCGCCAAAAGGTGACTTAAAATAAATAACGATAATACTGAATTATCTACACCCCTCATGAAGCTTTTCTGGGATAATGAAACAAATAATGCAAAAGAAACACAACAAGGCTAAGAATCCCAGCTGGCAGGAGGCAAATCAGTTGGCTATTGTACATGTACAAGCCTGGCCAAGGATCTCTACTTGGGACTTTAATCAAGAACAAAACCATTTGGCGGTCAGGACAGGAATTGAACTTTAGGGCTCTGCATTACAGCACTCATGAGACGCTTTTGATTTGCAAGCTTAAACCATCCCTCAACATGCAAAGTGACTCTGTTTGTGCTAAAGTGTTTGTTTAAAGAACTTCCTTTTGTTAGCATGGTAATTATTCGAGACTTGAAACTCTTTAAAATAATACATTTGCACAATTTGCTACTTTGTATGGTCTTGATAATGGTGTTGCATGATGATGATGAAATGTCAACTTTTTATGCTCTTATTTAATCTTACTAGAAATTAACAAAATTGGTTGACTGCTTAGTGGGAGTCCAATTTGTTTCATCATGAGTATGATTACAGGCTGAATTAGATGATACAAAGTTCTGATACCAATTAATCATATCTACATGTATAACAAATCTATAAAAAATTAGACCATTCACCACCCCAGAAACCGTTACAAGCTTTTAATGTGACAATTTTGGGATAGTTTGGCTGGACAGGTATTCATTATGACTAGTCAATAATATTCCCCTTATGGTTTCTGGAGTGGGGAATTATAAAAATTATAACACAATATATTACAGTCATCTGAGAGTTTGTGGCTAGAAGTAAAAAATTTAAAGAAAGAACATTTGTCATACTGTCCAATTACTTGTGAGTGACTTGACTGTCCTATCACTGTACACTGTCCATTTAATGCTAAAAAAAGGACTGCTGATAGCCAACTGGATCGGAGAATTTTGTCATTATAGTTATGATATAATACTGAAATCATTATCAGGGCTGCTGATAGTTAATGATATTAAAGACATTTGTTGAAGTTATTACTAACAGGACTTACATCAGAAACCCAAGAAACATAATTTCAATCACAAATAATGGTCATGGAACTAGGTTTCAAAATAACAACCTGTCAACAGACAATGTCAGACCAGAATGTCAACTTGACCAGCAAAAAAAATCACTCACTGGTCGTATTGACCAGTTATGACTTATTAAGTTTGACAAAACAAAACTGATCAAAAAAACTTTGGGCTCATGGGTCTTGTTAAATGCTATGGGGGAAATCCTAAGTAAGCAATGGTTAGGTAGCATGTTACTTTGGCAGTCTGAAATACAGTAGATAGTCAACTTTTTTGCTAAAATAGCCTATTTTGGTATCATTTTAGTGAAACATGGTGACTATTTTCCTTTATTGAGCCACTTTTTGAAAGGTCTAGCAAAGACTAGAACAAGTAAATGATAGTTTTGATATTACATGCTGATATTTTGCCCAGCCAGAAATGCAACTTGACCAAGCATAGATTATATCTTTGGTCAGTGAATGGTCCTGCCACCTTCCAAAATAATAATTTTGGACCCTACTTAGCACTGTTACAACCCTTTAACCCTTTGCCGTCAGCCAATTTTTAGGCAAAAAACCCAAATATGGACCCAAGAGGACGACAAAGAATTAAGTCTTCAGTGTGACCAAAACCAATTTAAGTTTTTCCTAACAATATCACAAAAAAGGAAATATAACATGGAAAAAGGTTGGGGAGGGCTCAAAATTAATGGCAACCCATTAACCAACAATTAGTAGATTCCAATTGCGAAAGTTTCCAGTTTCGAAAGGCTGATGATTTTTTTTTTGCATAAGGTTGTTTTCTATCTTGAACAATATTAATTGTTGTTCTAAAGGATATTGAACAACGCAAAACACTTCCATTTCCCAGGAGGCAAGGTAACCAGTCTTGTTGGATGAGGAGATCTGGACACAACCTTAGTATAAGTATAGTACCTTAGCCATCTTGCTCATTCCTGTGTTTGTTTTGTTTTCTTTTGGAAGTGGCTCGTTTGTGCAACCTATTAATTATACAGATCAGATGCAGAGATCCTTGGATAGTTTTTGCCAAAAAAGGTTGCCTCGCATAAGTTGTGAAGAGGAAATGGAAGATTGAGCAAAACAACAAAGAACAAGTACAGTTTAGAACACTACAGAATGCTCTCTGGAAGCGGTACAAAGGAAAGCAAAAACAAGGAGGAGGAATTTTTCACAAAGAATTAAAAAAGGCATTCTCCTGGTTACAGTTCGATGAGTCTAAACAAACAATGTTTTAAACCAATCCATCCATACATGTACTTTAGTTTGCCCCATTTATCGGCACAATTTTCAGTAGTTAATATATTGTTCCAATGTAAGTTCAAGAACATTTAACTTTATAACTTGGTTAGCAAAATTTACGCCCACTGACCCGAAGGGTTAGTTATCCAAAAATTAATTTTGAGCCCTATTGGGAAAATCAATAATTAAGAAAATGCTTTGATCTTTCAACAAATTTTCTCAACTACATTTAGTTCTTTAAGGAAATGTATGAAGAGCAGTCTACAGAATTGTATGTGGATATTTGGGCTTAAAGAGATATACTGAGTGGTCTTAAGGAAGGGGTCATTAAACATTGCTGCAAGTATAAATATGGATTCGTTAAATGACATTGTCAATTGATTTTAATACTGTGTATAATATGTTGTGGTTCAATTTTCTCCTTGGTTTAAATTTTAATTTCCTTTGTTTTGGGGTGTGGTAATATATGATAATAAGTTTGAAACAAAGGAAAATAAAATTTGAACCAAGGATAAAATTGAACCACAACATATGCAATGTACAAAATACATACTCACCAATGTAGTCATCATTAGGTGAAAATGCCACCTCTAATGTCATGCTGTAGTGTCAAGAAAAAACAGAAAGACAAAATTTGGTTTAGACAAAACTTAATGACAGATATATTCTTTGCCAGCAAGAACAGACCAGTCTCTCAAGTCAAGTCAATCGTTGTCTAAAACAAACCAATGAAAAAAAAGAAGAAAGAAGATCACATAACAGATCTCTCTTAAACCCCAAGACATGTTTTGGTAGACTGTACATGCTACAACTGTAGTAGTGGTCTTCATTTGGGGGGAGGGGGGGGGGTGGGTACTGCCATTTATGGCCTATTATAGGTATATGCCACTGTGAAGGGCAGTTTACTCTGGGATAGGGTATATGAATCAGAGAGTTTGGGTCTAAAATAGGGTATCGTTTTGCACGAAACTGATCAATTGGTTGAAGATTATAGTCTATACTACGGAAACCGGGAATTGCCACTCAAAAATATAAAAAAATCAAATCGGCAAGTTTGAATTTATTCAACACAGGCTAAAGTATAGGGTACAAAAATTCAGCTGAACTAGATTTGGTATAGGGTAAGGGTTCCAAGGTCACTGCGGCACATCTCCACCTAAAAATTCCTGCTAAAGTAACCTCCCCCCCCCCGGGTCTTCATTAGGCGACGTTGTTGATTTGTTGTGCAGGACTATGTGTGTGACACAGTGGTGCTAATGATTGGTGCAATTTCAGCAAAATACTTGATTAAGTATTGCTTCTCCAGAAAGTTTTGAAATTTCAAAGCCCTAAAATGCAATTTTCAGCATTCTGGGGACTAAATTGAGGACAAAAGACTGTGTTTTTTATTCAAGACAATGTAGCTTTCATTCAACTTTCGATTTATCAGTTACACAATAAATTCCTACAAGCAATGGACAAATGATGAAAACTAAATGTGACCTTTCACGCGAAAACGTGCTATAACGGCTTTCGGTTTTCGAATGGAATTCCATTTAGAACCCGTTTGAAAGCCGTTTGAAAGAAATTTGCATTCGTTCGAACGACCTGGGTCATCCGTTCAAAAAAATTTGCATCCGTTCGAACGGCTTGATCACTCGTTCGACAGAAACGTCCAGCCGTTTGCATGACTTGCTCACCCGTTAGGTACCTTTGCACGTAAATAAATTCTGTGTAAAACTTAAAAAAAAAAAAGACTGAAAATAGTGTTTACATGACTGAAATGTAACGTAAAACCAGAGGGCCATCATGAAAGCACATCATTGTTACATTTTCATTCAGATTAATTTTTATGATGCATTTTTTGTTTACAACATTATTCAAACTAGTTGCTGCTTTTTTTTCTGGAAAAAAGTAGCGACTTTTATGAGCAAAGTAGCCCACATGTTTTGTTGGCTGTTGGTGCTTATTGAAACCACTGGGCATGAAAAAGACGTCTCTCTCCCTGATTTTCTTTTTGAGGCGAGGGGGCGTTTGTTCGCAGGCTACCATAAGGGACAAAATAATTTGTCACACTTGTCTAAAATTTCATTCATTTATAATTTCATTCTGTTTAAATGCCGTAAATCCCCCCATCCCTGAATCAATGTTGTTTATAGTAAAAGAAAGACTTAAGGGTCTAAAATACAACTTTGGTTTTAGGGGGAGGGGGTGGGGGAACACAGGGGGAGGGGATAGGTATGTCCACTGTTCAAAAAGTGGCCATTTTAAAGAAGAGTCTCAACACTTTTGTCCCTTATTGTAGATTTTGCTTGAAAATCTCAAACGCGACCAATATGCAATCGGCATAGGAAAAACCCCGATATTGACATCCGTTCTGATACTTCCATGAAAAATTTTATGATATCTATACAAGAACATTTAACAGATCAAGAGTATATTTACTGATTCTGATGTCCAGAAAACTTCAAAAACAGCACAAAATATAAAATGAAATCAAGTATTTGTACGCAAAGCCACGCAAATAAAAATAAGAATAGAAATGACAATCGATTAGCTAACACTTTAGACAAAAAACTGCCCTCTCAGAACACTAGAAATAGCATTTCAGAGGAACAAGATTTCAAAACATTCTAGAGAAGAATGCTCCCAGACCTCCCTAGCGATTCGCCCCTTCGGCGCTCGCGTGAATCTTCGATTATTAAAAGATATCCCGATTTTACATACTCAAAAGGTTGGAAGTCTGAGCTTTGTTTTAACATTTTTTACCCCATGGTTTTAATAAACATAGGCATATAAGCTATACCTGCCAACTTTTTCTGAGATATAAGCGTGAGATTTTTATCCTGGGAGTGCTGGGATTTTTGAAGACGACACGATCATTTCCGAAGATTCCCGAAGACGTCCGAAGTCTGCCGAAGTCTGCCAAACGCGAGCTCGCTCCCAGTGCTTTCACTTGAAAAATCAGAGATCGCGAGGAAGGAATTGCCATTTATTCATTTTACACATGGATTTCGTTCCTTACATGGGTCTGAGTTAACATATTTTTGGAAATTGTGTCAAGCAGGACGGCAACAACTCATATTTTTCAATCAGGCGTGAGAAATTGGCCCGCAGGCGTGAGTCGGCGTGAGATCGAAGTTTTCAACCCGCAGGCGTGAGACTCACGCCTAAGGCGTGAGAGCTGGCAGGTATAATATAAGCTTGCACGCAAGCAAGTCTTACACACCGAGCTACAGTTGCATCGCTCGACTACAGTGTACATCTAGGGCAAAAAAATCTCGTTTCTATACATTGTGATCGTATAACATTTATACATAAGTATATATTTTTTTACATATCGACCCTAAAAGAATCAAGAATAACCGAAGAAAACGACGAATTGAACAACTGAATGAACAATTCGAGAATCTCAGAGAGTTCTGAGTGTGGTGTCAACAGTGTCTTGAATCTAAATTGTTTTCATCAACCAGAAACGTAATAACAGCACACAAAAATTGAATTATAAAGAAGGTAACAAACAGTGTACTTACTTTACGGAGACCACAGAAAATGAAGTTGTTAGGAAGCAAACAAAGCTAAGTTTTTCCTCAAACGAAGAGACAACTTCTGTCGACATGAACTAAACGTGCAAACGAGGCTACGTCCGGAGAACTGGGCGCTAGCTAACATTTCTTCCCGGGTGAAGTGATGGGTGTTGGAGGGGAGGGGTAGAGAACGTAGGGCGAGCGGAAACAGAGATAACAGTCCCTGACGACAGAGATGAAGCAGGGTCATGGGCTCTGTAATCTTCACCCTTCACATCTATCTGCAAATGAAGTGACTATACACCTGTAGTAACAGCTGTCTCTTTTTATTGAACAAGCCAATTCTAGTGGCAATTCAAGAAATTCTAGAGGGGGCATTTGCCTTTTTTTCAGCAGGTTCATACAAAAACCCTACCATGAGGCTTAAAAAATATGCTCAAACTTACATGTAGTCTCTCTAGCAGCTGTTTTGGGGGAGCGTTGCGTGACATCCACAAAACGGCTGCGAGGGAGACTAACGTACATGTGGGAGAAACGCAGTTCCTTGAAAGAAGCTAAAAAAGAGCATATAGCGCTTAAAGTAGTTTTCATATTTGCATACTTTTTCTTGTTCGCCTTCTTGAACAAATAAAGCCTGTGGCTTAAACTGGACTTGGTCGACTTAGCAGAAATAAACGCAGTTTTCGAGAGTTTGTACCGCGTTTTGGGTGTTAACCTTGCATTTTATTGTTAGTTTGCCTATGTTTTCTTTTGTTTGCCGAGGTTTTCCGGCTCAGCTGTATCAGCCTTACGGTTCTTTCTTCCTTTTTTATTTTGCCTTTAATCAGAACCTTGACTTTGCAACGTGTTATGTTAATATTGCTGAAACGGTAAATTTGCTTTGCAAGAATGAAATTGTCAAGGCAGTGTGTCGTGACCTGTTACTTTAAAGTTACATTGAGGATGCCGCAGATACTTTCAAGCACGGGTGAGTTTCCTGTAAGCTACTGGAAAAAATCGTCCTTGATTAAGATAAATAGAATTTTATTAATAACACTTTTATAACATACCTACATTTTATGCTTTTTTATTAAAATTCCTCAGCAGTAGGAAGGAACTACATTTAAAAAATACGACATAACGTTTGAGTTTTGAAGACACCTTTCGAAGTGAATATACTAACATGCATCATCAGTTTAAGTTAAGGTTGTTAGTAACACAGAGCGGTAAGATTTCCGTATAAAGACTTGTAGTATTTATTACACACGCACAAATTTCATTTCGTACTTTTTGTCACAAATAATTAATTTGAACAGAGTCGAAACATGTATGCATTTTAAATGTATGGGTATACACGGAATTCTTATTCTTATGCTTCAAGTGTTATGTAATGTTTCGTTTACTTATTTTTTCTCCCTTTTTATAAGTAACCAGCCCTTTGCCATCCCTGCACTTGACATGATTCCCCTATTTTGTGAACTGCCTTGAACTGACAATGGATAATAGGGATCTTAAGAAAGACTTAGCAAGGTTGACGAAAAGGATAACGACGAATATTTCGAATATGCCTGCGCAAAGTCTCGGTCGAGACCACTATTCACTGGTAAAAAAAGGGCGGGAAAATGCGCTGCTCTGAAGTGAACGCCAACGTCAACGTAAGCAATTCTGGAACATGTCTTTGAAACTCAAACGTTGCTTCTTGCTGTCTTAGTTACTTAACTAACGTACGTTCTTGAGCGTTTATCGGAAAATATCTCGTCTAGTGTTTCTAAGAAATTAAAAAGATATATTTTGCACTTCGGAAATGACAAATATGCCAAGGTGAATAAATAAAAAAAAAATCATTTTTTTTTTGCCTAATGATTGAATCTGCAGCCGTTTTATGTTGGCTAAAGGCTTTGTGTTCAAACCCCATTCAATTCTCTTCTATAATATGTTGGGTCTTCAGAACAGTCCAACTGATAGCCGAAGTTAAGGTGCAGAATGCAAAAACAAATTTCGGCAAAGACGAATCCTATGGTATGTTAGTGGAATATAGTGGTCTGTTACTTGTTTTTATTTTTATATTAAATCTTTTGCCGTTATATGACGGCTAAATGCTTTGGGGTCAAAACCTCATTAAGTCATCTTCTACGTTGGACTTTTCAACTGCGTCCAAAATGGCCAAGGTGTGGCCCTGGAATGTAGAAATCCGGTTCGGCAATGGCGAGTTCTATGGAATGTCAGTGGAAAAAAACTATTCTTTCACTTGTTGTTGTTATTATTATTATTATTATTATTATTTTATACTTGCCAATACTCTTGTTAGAACTGGCCTAGAATTTGAAACTTGTCTATTTATCGTATTAAGCGGCACGTGAGTGGGGCTTAAATCTTTGCTTGGCGATGAAGAGAAATATTCTTGCAGAAGGTCTATAACAGGGTAGAATGCTTCATCCTTGTAATGTATCCCATCCATGGTTCCTGGAGGATAAGAGTTGCTTATAGGATACACATCCAATACACTGATATTGTTTTTACACATAGCTGAGTTGGCGAAAGCATTGTAGAGTTGAATTCTCTGAAATTCAAACAAATGTGCAAAAAGTAAAGGCAAAAGAGAACACAAGGCCGGAACTTACAGAGAGTGGTTTCTGTAGAGTGAAGCACAAAGAGGAACTAACACTCCTCCACTCACTTCCCTGCATGAGGCACTAATTGTCATTGTAGAGTATCCCCACGTTACTTGCTATCTTTTTAAAAAGCCAAAACTTGTCTTTGCGTCAATTAAATTGAAAAAAAAAAGATACACTTTTGTTACTTAAAGGTGATGTTACTCGAGACGGTTCGCAACAACGATTTTTAGCGCAACACAGCGTCCCAACATTGTCAGTTGCGACATCGTTTCGAATGGTTACAACATTGTTCAGCATTGCAATACTGTGTTGCGCTAAAAATCGTCCTTGCGAATCTTCCCGTATAACATCGCCTTAAGGACAATTGAGAAATAATGTCATACCTTGAAGGATTTTTAAAGAGACCCATTGTCAGATGTTCTTGCTCTTAGTTATGTTATTCATATGACAATTTCAGCAAAATTTAGAGAAAGTTCGCTGCTTTGGTCAGAGTCACACAGTGTCAATACTTACGTGGTTTGTTGTGAACCTGCGAAAAGCACCCATGATGTCAGCAGTTTGTCCGTGGATAGCTGTTGTCGATTTCCAGACAGGCTTTCCTTTGTACGCTGTTTTTATTTCTTCTATTAAAGCCAGTATGACTGCTCTATAGCTTTGAAAACTGGTCGTCTAAATAAATGATAAATTTAATAGCTAGAAAAACAAAAACAGCTTGCTCAAAGCAAAAATGTGTGAGGGGTGGTACTTAGATCTAATCGTAAAGGGAACTCGGTAACTCCAACGCTCTCTATTGATTTTTTCATTTCTCTTATAAAGGTTCCCTTACAGATAACATCTCTGTTCAAAATCCATGACTATGACCAATATTAGCGATTGCCAAGCCCAAAATAAGAATAGAAAATTGATCGTGATTAGGGTGATATAGTTATATGTCCACCATCTTAACTAAATTCCTCCAAGACTTTCACTAAGCTCGAACTATTTGAAAAAATAATTCAATTACAATAAATTAACACTATATCTATTTTTTTTATCTTTGTTTTCCAAGTGGTACTCATCACGATGATGTGGCCGAGCTAAAAGATAAAACAGTTTCGTCGCGAAACAACAATGACAAAAGAAAAAAAAAACATTTCTTCGCCGTTTGTTTGCAAAACTTTAAACTTAAAGGAGGTTTCTTACTCAGTAAGAATGCAGAATCACAACGTCATATGGCTCTACCGATTTCGCCTACGGTAAAAATTGATTAAAAGCAGATATCTGACATTAGTAAAATCCAATTAGTGGTCTATTATCAAACCTGCGTTCTGATTGGTTGAGCTACTACTAGGCTATATGTTATAGCCCACTAGTAGCGAAAAGCGCGGGCTTTTGGCGGCGAAAAAGGATTAAAGTCTAGCCTTAACTAGCTAAAATATTTTTATCCTCGACATTTTTGACCAACTTAAGCTTGATGGATTTTACTAAGACAATTATTCCTCTCGTCCTCATGGCCTCTGAGTTAATAGCCCATTCGGCCGCTATTGACTCAGAGCCCAGTCTGGCTCGAGGAATAATTGTCAAATATCCCAGTTTCATATAAAAGTAACAGGCGAAAATTATCAGTGAAAATACCTTGACGTAATGCGCACCAGCGTTCAGCAATAATGCACTATCTTTATCCATGTCTCTCCTAAGGATCACATCACGGAAGTAGTTCAAAACTTTGGGCACTTGTAAGCTCATCTCACCACATGTTTCTGTCTGTCACAACGAATTACGGAATTAATTATTCTCAGTAATAAAAGACACTGTGCTAGAGCGTCTTACATATATTTAGTGGTGGGCCCTTTTTTGCCATTTTCTTTGTTATCACGCGTCTTTTTCTTTCACGAAGTTTGAATTTTACAACCTGCGCGCATGAAAAGTTCCCGGATGTTTCGCGGCAGTTTAGACAATGTGCCGCGTTTTACATATAATCAGCGAAATACTATTGGTCCATGAATTTCTAAAAATGTAGAAAGCCTCGTTTCCGGGGTGATCTATTCGTCTTCCCGGGTAAAAGTCGAAAAGATCCCTGGGAATGAGGTTGAAATGTAGTCAGCGTAGTTGCACGTAAGGGTTTTTAGAGTTACTCGTGTCACTTAGTCATTTACTAAAGTATTTAATTGAGTTGAGAGGTGAGGGTTGAGGAGAAGGGAGGGGGGGGTGTATCATGTCCGCGAAATAAGTTGTACTTTATACGCTCAAACATCGTCTTGTGATTTCAAAATCATAAATGGAGACTGCGTAATAATGATTTCTTTGTAACGGGAACGTAAATCACTGCAAGTTACCAAAGACTTTGAAAGCACGTTAGCAGTGTGGATGTGACGACCAGATAGTGTCACCTGCCCACTTATCTTGCACCCTTAACGTCTTTCAAGAATTGAAAAACATGACTGTTTCTCCAGGATGAACACTTCAGTTATTAGGGAACTTAAGCAACAACGACGGGGATGGCAACGAAAACGTCACTTCACAAGGGAATACGCGCTGCTTCAAACTTTATCGAGCTTATTCCATCAATTCAATTCGTCAAATGTTTGCAAATTTTCCTGGAGTTGATTATGAAAGACTGTATAGAAATTGAGGAAAAGAACAAGAAAGTCTCTCGGCTGTGTTCACGTCCTCCACAAAACGTGAAATTAGGCACTTTCACGTGATATAGTCGTGTAGTGACAGCAAAGAAATGTACAAGAAAGCGTGATGCACGTGCAAAGTTGTTGTTTTGCCGATCTAAACCTACTGCTTTTTTGCTGTTATCGCTGCCGTCCCCGTTGTCGTTGCTTAAGCTTCCTATTGTTACCAAGAAACTAATTGTAAAGAAAATGAATTTTCTATACTCTAAAAGGTGAACGTGGTTTAAGCTTAAAAGGGATCGGATAGCTATAGACGAGTTCAAGTGCTCACTTAAGTGTTTTCTTGGACCAGAAGTCCTCAAAGAAGTAGGTTTGCCAAAAAGAAACTTTCCTGGTGTTGCGGACAGGTGCGATCAAAGAATGACGTAATACAAAAGTTTGATAAAACAGCAAACAATAACCATACCAGAACAAAAGCAGGGGGGATCTAGGGGAAGGGTGCAGGGAGTGCGCACCCCTCCCCCCCCTCCCCGAGATAACGTGCGCAAAAAATAACTGTGTGGTTTGTTAGAGTTGAAGTAAAACATGAGACGAGGTTGAAGAATTTATGTGAAACGCCGTAAAAATGGTAGTTCGGCACGTCACGTCACCAGTCAGTTAAGGTGCCATACCTTAGTGGTGCATCCTCCCCCCTTAAGAAAAATCCTGGATCCGCCCCTGAAAAGCGAACCAACAATGGTTCCGTAACACCAAGCAACATCACCAAAAAAGGTCACCATTTCTTTTTTAACAAAAAACATAATTTAAGACGGAATCCACCAGGAAACTGAGTAATTTTAATTTTCAGTGGACAAAAACATTGTACCAGAATAATCTAATATTGCATTCTTTTTTACATCTTCAAGGGCTAAAGATGTAATTAGTCATTTATAATAACACCAAAGAAAATTTCCGATGGGAGCCCGAGAAAATGAATCTCAAATCTCACAAAATGACATCTAAAACATGAAGGTTTCAGAATTTTACCTGTGTTTTCACAATTCTTGTGAAATTTGACATTCATGTATCAACTTTCTTTGGTGTTATTATAGATGACTAATGTCATCTTTAGCCCTTGAAAAATGTAACAAAGAATGCAATATTCTTTAAATTATTCTGGTACAAGGATTTTGTCCACTGAAAATTAAAATTACTCGATGTCCTGGTGGATTCTGTCTTAATTTTAGACCTTTTTACTGCGCCTTTTACAAACATGCGAACTCTAAAGTTCAAAAGCCACCTTCACAAGTGCGTTTTTCGCTACCGTCAATCATAGTTATGATCACAAGCAACGAACCTGGAAACACAGAAACACACAAAACGGATCGAAATCCACCAATCACAAATCACAAACCTTGACCTTTCGAACCCGTTAAAGTAAAGTTTTGTTTCCTAAGAGGTCCGTTAAGATGATTGACGGCAGTGAGAAACGCATTCGTCAGTTGGCTTTTGAACTTCAGAATTCGCATGTTTGTGAAAAGCGCAGTAAATTCTGCGTATAAAACGAAACGAATAGCCGTTATTAAATAAAACAAGTCGCGAAATGAGCGATTTTTTTCGTCAATGGGGTGCAGAGTTTAACGACCTTGGCGACACACCACTACCCAAGCTTCCTCTAAGTAACCCCCCGGATCCAGTGTAGCTTTTTCAAGCGCATTTCACGTTCTAACGGCTTAACGGCCATGCTGGTGATTGGAAATAAACTTCACTAGGAACCCATACCGCGTGAACGACTTACGTTACTGAATTTTTTCCAAGAAAAATGAATTCAACTGGTATTTGAAACAGCCGTGTAGTATACTTACTAGCTCATAGAGTGTCTTGGGGTATATCCAGTTATATGTACAATTACAATCTTTGAACACTGTCGAACAAACCAGCCTGCCAGGTTGGGTAAGTGACTTGTAGAAGTAATAACTCAATGAGTCCCCATATATCCACAAGACACCTCGGCCTGTCACGTGATCGTGTTGTTTTTGGTGGTTTTTCAAGAACGTGCAATCTACGAGAGCGAATAAAATTGATTGGTCTTAAATGATTGATAGGTCCTTTGTTGATAGCTCGCGGTCATGTGAGCTTTTTAATGTCTTATAAATAACTTTACAAAATTTTAGAGATCGAAAGTTACCAAAATTAGTTAGCAAGCCAGTTTTGGGGCGATTGATACATTAGGCGAAATATGTCTTTAACCGAATGTAAAACTCAGGTCTATGATCATTGATTAAAAAAAAAAGAAGCACATTGGATGCAAGCACCGTGTCTTGAAAAAGGCAAAAAAAAAAAGAAAAAACATGTTGTTAAAAAAGGTTTCAACTCTTCGAATGGCTTGTCACGTGTACAGTCAAAACATTTCATCAATAAATTCAGAGTCTGTGGCTCTGAAGTGCGTATAAGTATTTACAATGGTACATACTTTTGCAAGTTCAGACCTTTCAATGTTCGCCACAAAGCTCAGGCTCAATACTCTATAAGCTACATCACACAACATTATCGGTATGTTGAAACGCATCGCTTTGAAGTAAAAAAAGCAAATATTTACTAATAGAGTGACATCTGTATACGTTGATCTTTCGATGATATATTTACTCAACATTAGGAAAAATAACTGGCAATCTATTCACGTGTAAAATCGTGTAATGCTCACTGCTAATAAGCTAACTTTAAGATCGTTAATACCTGATTCCAGAAATTACCAGGGGAATGGGTACAAGCTTTCGGCGCAACGATTTCTGGGATCGTTTGAGTGGACAAGCGTTACTTATGATTGGTTAGTGATTGGCTTGGATACCATCGACCAATCATAACTAACGCTTATGCACCCAAACAATCCCAGAAATCACCGCGCCCAAAGTTTGTACCCATTCTCCCTTGGGTTTCTGAAGTAGGAAGTACCGTTTCTTGTGGAGTTGATATAAGGCTTCCATGTGTAACCAGCCACCCATCTGCCGAAACCATCCCACAGTACGTTACATGGAATATCACACTCGTTGTCCGCCTGACGCATGTTATTTTGAATTTCTAATGCATTCAGTTCGACAAAGTATAGTGATTAGTTTAGTTATGTATATACCTGTAAAAATTCAAAAGACAAAAACAAGAACAAGAACGAAATTCCCTGTTTACAAGGAACATTGCAATTACTGGAAAGTTGCTTTCAAGTGAACGAGTCAAGGAGACTCTCAGTAGCGCCAAACGACGAAATCCCGCTAAGCGTATTGAAAATTCATTTCAGGCTATCCAAATTTATTTTATAGATAGCTACAAGTGCATTCTAAGCGGTGCTATAAAATTTGAATCTGTTCGGTCAGCCTATGAAGGAGATAATTTTCGTGGCCCAAAGTTTTATGTTTCCTTTTTTTATGAAAAACAGCCAAACCTGGGCAGCAATTATGTGATAAATACAACTTTTGGATAGAATGGACTGGAACAAGCGTCATGAAATTGTTAACCTTCATCTAACTATAGAAAGCTTCCTAACAAATTTCCCTTCCAACAAATATTTTACGGAAAAGAGTCTTAATTTGGTGGGTACCCGTGGACACTTCCGTAAGTAATGCAATGTTTTAGGAGAACCCTGGGGGTTACTTCTTACAATTGCCCATACAGGGAGGCTCCGGTCGAGGCTCCGTCATTCAGGGGTATCTTTCTCAGCGGCTTCAGGTATAGAAAAGGGTATTGATTACACAAGTTGAAGTATATGAAAGGTTAGGGAAAGTTGTCATTCCGGTCTGTAAAAAGGCTCAAAGGGGATAAAAGATGCATTTTATGGCTGTAAAAAGGTGAGAAATCGTTCGGGTTTTGTGATTCATTCATGCGTTAAAGACAGTGCGTTTAAAAAAGTTAGAAAGTATGCAATTTTCTAAAACTAGGTATGTGAAAGAGATACCATAAGAGGTACCTTTCTTGTCAAAATTGATATATAAAAGGGTAACGGGTCAGTCTTTTGGGCGGAGCTCAAGGTTAAATCTTTTGTTGAGCACCTCCTCCCCTCCCACCCTTCCCGTGTAAGAGACATGAAGGTTTACTTAAAGTTCATCTTACCCATTTCACTAACACGCTGCCAAGGTATTGTAAGAGTTTTGCTTGTGGCAGATTGCAGAGGTTGATTGATGTATCCGGTCATTTCTGAGAATAGCTGGTTGCTTAGGTGAACGTTCTTTAACTTTCCCGAGCAGTGAGCTGACAGTTAGAAAGGAAGAGGTAAATTAATAGAGTCGTAAAAAGGACTGAACTATCATTAACATGTACTAGAAACAAACTTTGTGCCGATCCCATTGAAAGGCAGTCAACTTTCTCTTATATTAGACGGACGCCTTTGGGAACGGCGCTGAGTGTCCATCTAAGTGTGATGTCCGTCTTATAGAGAGTCAATTAAAGGGAGTACTGTCGTCTCTCTCTCAACGGACACCTTTATAAGACGGACACCTCTGTAAACGGACACCTAGAGATGGTCCTTGCCTTTCTTTAATTCCTTTATTTGACACTTTTAGGACGGACACTTAGTACTGGGCCCAAATTAAAGGTGTCCGGCTAAGAGGGAGTTGACTGCAAAGAAAGACACGGACCAGCTCTAGGTGTCCGTTTTACCGAGGTTTACATCTTATAGAGTTGTCCGTTTATCTGACTCTCAACCAAAGGTAATAGGGTCATAAATCTGCCAAATGATTCCGAGCGAAGCGAGGCGAAGGCCCCCCACCTCGCAAGCTTTATAAATTTCTCGTGCGCGTCGATCGCACGGCGAGGCAGAAACTCGGGTTGCGAATATTTAAATAGATCTCTTGGTTGTCCGCAATTATTCAGTGCCTGCGTGGTCAAGGGTCTTACTTCACTTATAGGATATTCGGAGGAAGCGAGTTCGAGTCGCCGGCAAAGCAAAGCTTGGATTACTCGTTTTCCTTTTGGCTTGTTTCCCTTTATTCTTACAGTGGTTCTTTTAAAGCTTCGCGAGGATTTTGCGATAACGTATTTCTAGTACTATATTTTACAACCCTCTTTTCCTTACCACTTCTAAACCAATCAACCGGAGGATCAATTAGCCCGTCGCAAAGGGTATAATCCAGAATCATATTAATCTTGTAAGCACCAGGCTCCATGATAAGAAAGAGAACTTCATATATTCCATTGTTATGATCAAATACGGTCCCGGCTACATTGGAAGGTCCTTCCAGATATACCCGCCATGAATCTCCGCCGATTGCCTTCCTCCGAGCAGAGTTTGTGCGAGACTGGACGAAGAATCGACTGTATTCCCCCGCAGGGCGGATCTGCACATCAAAAATTTCGCTTTCTGCTGGGGAAGTTGCCATCCTGTGCAAAAAAATAAGGGTTGTTATACTGAGAAATTTCTTAATATAAATAAGGCCCTCCGTTTATATATGGCAACTACCCCAAATTTGACAGGCACCAGCGGCCTCTACGATTAAAAACTCAGTATGTGCTGCATATAAGCCGAGCCTACTGAAGACGAGTCCCACAGTGGAATGATTTAAGGTAACATTTTCATATTTGAAAAAGGCCTTATTCAAGATGCCAGCCATCTTTGCACGCGCTTTAAGGATTGATGGGATAAAAAACTGTGGTCACGTGGTATTTGAGCGGGAAAACAACTGATAAAGTCGATAAAGTCTGCCAATACGATTAATCGCGGTCGAGTTTGCTTATTCTCTCAAAACTTGACGTCAAATGTACAGTTAGAGTTTTCCACGTTCTTCGTCGTTATTGTTTGCTGTGAGGACATCTACAGTCGTTTTTGGATCCAAAAAGTAACAATGACCACCTCTACCTATGAGTTGCTATTATCGTCTGTAAGATAAAAAGTTATTATTTTCTGCTGTCTGCTATAAACAAACTCGATCGCGATTTCTTGAATATTGGCAAATTTTAGCACTTATTGGCCTCCTTAGAAACCAGGTGACATTGCTTTTATCCCTTCGGTCCTTAAGCGCGTACAAAGATCGCAAGTTTCCTGAATAAGATCTACTAAGAACCTCAGGCTGAAGTTTGGCTAATAATTTAGTAACGAGAACTAAAAGTGAAAAAAAACAAAACAAAACAAAACAAAACACTTCAAGCATAAGTGCTGGCCGACCTGTTACAAACACCCCCAAAATTTGCACTTTCATACCACCCTCACCGCAGGGGTTGACATTTTCCATAGTTTATGATTTTCATTATTTATTGTGATTATTAGACCTGTTATAATCAATCACACATATTCGCTAATTAAAGGAAAACGTAGATAGATATTAGACAGTAACTAACTTGGAAAGAAATAATCATAAGAACCCCTAACGAGACCACCTTGCTTAGGGCTCATTCTCTCAACGTATGCAATATATAAGAAATGCATCAGCCCGAAACAAAAAACCACAGGTTCTTATTTTTTTAATCACAGTGTTTACTCTATTATTAATCCGGAGCTTTTTATGTTATAAAATTTTACGGTAAAGATGATGATTGTGATGGTCATGATCATATCCTTTTCGAGTTTACATTTGCCATGAGCAAATCACGAGCTCTGATCAATTCCCTTGGTAAATTCTAATTTCATGATTAAGGCATCGAAGTCGTTCATGACCCGTATACTAATTGGTCAACTGAAACGACAATGTAGGCTAGTTGATTTAAAGGAAAGGAGCTAGTGTCTGGGACTGAATTTAAAACGGAATCAAGACCTCCGAAAAAGACCTGAAACTGCATTGTGGATTTGAGCCAGTTTAGAATCATCTGCACATGATACGATACTGAGGTCATAAGCAGAGATTCAAAACAAATTTAATAATCTCATGGCACTTGAAGGCGCTTAGTAAATCAGGTCGTTGATCTATTGTTTTGAGCAGTCTCCTATCCGCTTCTCATCGGAGAAAACAACTAGTTAATTCAAATTAGTTTGAGACCTTTAACTAGCTAGCTTAATTCAATTTAATATCAAGTTTACAGATTAGTCATAATAACTTACGTTTCGTATTGTTCCCCATTGTTTCTTCTGTAATGAAGATTTTGACACGGCTTTTGTAGATTCTCCCAATCTAGCCTCCACTTTCGCTGTCGACACCAATTCACCTTAAAATCCTGATATATGGAACCTCGGGCCCGCGAAACAAACGCAGTAAACCGGAGAATTAAAACAAAAAACGCCAATCCGATTCGCATGACTAGAAATTATAAAATAGAAGCAAGTGAATAGATTTGAAAATGAATCAAATTAAATGTTTTTCTAAGGTTTGAACGCGATACTATTTTTGCCTTTAAAAACATTTCGCTAAGCACTAAATCATTACGGATCTAAAAAAGGTCTGCTATCTCTCACATTAAATTGTAGTCAAGGCGATATCGGATTTACCGGCACTTCATTTTCATAATTCATGTTTAGGTAGAATAGCGTCTGGTGGGCTATTCTTATGGCACCTGGTTATTATAACGCCTGAATTCTTTTCGAACTGCCTTAGGTTATGTTCACACTTAACCAGAAAGCTTTTAGTGCCGACGCGAAAACGTATCCTGTATAGTGTAAACACATATCCGATATGCGACTCTCCACTCCTCTCCACTTTTGAGATTGGCACGGCTCAGCTTCACTTCCGGTTACAGAAATAACACCGAAATCAGCGATCTTATATATACTCATGAACAGAAGCCATATCCGTTATGTTTTTCGTGCCGGGGCAAAAGCTATCCGGTAATAGTGTGAACAATAAGCCCTGGTAACGTAGCTTTACGTATACGAAATTTCATTATTCCTGTGTATTTATAAAAGTCTGATACTAGGAAACAAAAAGTACGTATACGTATACTCCGTTTCTTCACCGTAATTTATAAGCTATTTCTATGCCTCGTGTTCCTGAGCGTTTTCTATACAAAAAGGCATTATTATCAAAGAGTAACATTGTGTTGATATATTCGAGCGTATTTGCTTTACATAAACCCACGACCCTTTTAAAGAATAATTATACTTGAAAAAGGCTGACTTTGTTGCCTGTGAGACAAAATACTTGATGCCCGCCTTAATCACATAGGCGAACAAACAAGGAAAAGGGAACCATTTAATTTTGTTAAGGTTGCTGGTACCAGTTTTCTTCATTTCTTCATTTTTGTTGCTGTTTACTTGGAGAGAATAAAACAAAAAAGCAGGCCAAGGCTTTAGCAAGACTTAAGTAGAGTTGCATTACAGAATAAGTGCTTTCCCCGGAGAGACTATATTTCGATTGACAAATAGTTTAATTAGCGATATTCTGTTTTTACACACGGCCTCCTTGAAAAGCAGGTGTATCTTTATTATTTTAGGTTATATCTTAGATTCTAGATTAGTTAGGTAGTTAGTTTTTCTATTCTTGAATGTAAATGTACCTGAAGGAAATACCGTGTATAAATAAAGTTACCATACTATACCATACCATACCATAACCCCGTTTAACCCCTTATAATCCCCTCCAACCCATTGTAACCCCCTGTAACCCATTGTAACCCTTTGTACCTCATTGGAACCCCCTATAACGTCTTGCAACCCCCCTGTAACCCCTTGCAACCCCTTGTAACCCCCTGTAACCCCTTTTATCCTTCTGTAACCCCCTGGAACCACCTGTAACCACCTGTAACCACTCTGTAACCTCTTTGAACCCCCCTGTAACTTCTTGGATCCCCCTGTTGCCCTTTGTAACCCCCTGTAACTTCTTTGAGCTCCTTATAACTTCTTGTAACCTCTTCCTCCTTGTAACCCCATAGAACCCCTTGCAACCAATTGGAACCACTCCGTAACCTCTTGTAACCCTCTGTTACCCCTTGCAAACCCCTCTAACCCTTTTGGAACCTTCCTAACCACTTGAAACCCCCTGTAATCTTTTTGAACATCCTGTAACCTTTTGTAACCACCTGTTAACTTTTGTAACTATACGTAACCGCCTCATGTAGCCCCCTGAAACCCCTAGTAACCCCCTATTACCACTTGTAACCCTTTGTAACTCTTTGCAACCACCTGGAACCACTCTGTACCATCTTCTAACCATCTGTAACCCTTTGTAACTTCTTGTAACCCCCTCTTATCCTTTGTAACCCCCTGTAATCCCTTGCAACCCACTGAAACCCCTTGTAACCCCCTGTAACCCCTTGTAAGTCTTTGTAACCCCTTTGTAACCCGTGTAACCCATTGGAACGCCCTGTAACTCCTTGCAACCCCCTTTAACCCCTTGTACCCCCCTGTAACCCATTGTAACCCCCTGTAACCTCCTGTAACCCTTTGTCAGCGCTTGTAACCTCTTGTTACCTTTTGTAACCCCCTGTAACTCCTTAGAACCCCTGTAACGCTACTCTCCATTATATATACAACGCTCTCGTTCAATCTTAATTCGATTATTGTAATATTGTCTGGGTAAAGTGTAAAACAACTTTGTTTGACGGCTGCAGAAGCTTCACAACCGTGGTGCTCGTGTTTTAACCTTTTCTAGATATGATGCTGATGCCAAGCGCTTATTTGGACAACTTAATGCACCGTTAACCGAGAACACCTAGGGACGAGAGTTGAGTTGGTTTGGTTGTGAAGAGAAAAATGGCCTAACAGTCAGCGGAACATTTTACTTCTTTCACGACGAACTTTTGTCTAAAAACATAGCAAGAGGACAACTCGACGGACAACATCTGCTATTTGGAGTATATTTGCAGACCTGAACAGCCCCTTATCTTCTATGCACTATCGAGGTGAACTTAACATCGACGAAAGTAAGCATGTCTTAGCTTGTTTTTAAACTAAGGATTATTTGGAAACAATAATAAAGCAATTGTTGAATTCAGCTTTCGTGGGATATTAAACAGTTAGTCGCCGAAGGCGACGTGAATATCGGCGAATAGTCACCGAGACGAAGTCTCAGCTAAATTTAAATTTTTCTCGCCTCCTCTCAAACTGTCTCTAGACACTCATTTTCAGGCTAGACTCCGAACAATTGACTCCAAGATAACGCAAAGCGCTCGATCTCGACAATCTTACACAAAAATAGGGGACTTTAAACAGACAGTCTAAGCAGTCTAACGCAACATCTGTAGACGTAATTATATCTTCATGGCATGTATTTTTTTGTTATTCAGCAGTAAATACCCGCACATGGCAACATATGGCAATGTCCAAGGGATTAATAAGAAGAAACTTGCATTAACTAAAGATGGATTTTCCATTAAAACAAAGCAAGGTAAACATTTATCGGTGACTGCTGTAATGTTATAGCAAGTAAAAAAGAAACCAAAGGACAGAATAAAACTTTTTTATCCGAAAAACATGGATTTGGGCGACCAAATCGTAAATAAAATTCGTTAGCATTTTAGTGAACGGAATGTTTAGACTTACGCATGCTTTGTGAAAATTTCAACGATATTCTTCATATGAATTAACGAAAGATGAAAACAGACTGAAAACGCAGCAAAACATGTCTACTTTTTTAACAACGGCAGTGAATGAGGTAACTCCTTTACAACGTTGAAGGGTCGGGCTTAGGTTTCGGAAGATAATGAGGGCGAAAGAAGAAAAAATATGAATTAAGAAAAGGAAATTAAACAGATGGCGAACTAAATGTAGTTAGTATCGAAGGATTTCAGAGAAATAAGTAAAAACATTTTACATTTAATTGCCTCGTTACAACACCTATTTTCTCAACATATTTTTATGCTTGTAAAATAAGACGCAAAAAACACTTTTTTAGAAAGTTTTCTCGGCTTCTACTTACTCAACACAATACCGAAGAATGATTTCCATGGGGCCGGTCTTATACAATCAACGATTTCTTCTCTAGTTGGGAGACGTTCTTTTCACTTCTCGTGCTTTTATTTGGAAAACTAACAACCGGAGAACTCTATCTTTTAATGTATGCTAATAAAAACCACGATCCAAGGTAAGTTAACTTTATAGTTGAAGTCATGCTGGTTGTAAAAAGGAAATACTACAATAATACAAAACACTTTTATGTAATAACAACCGCAACACGGAGAAGTGATATAAATCCAAAGCGCAGCCGCGTTTTTTATGATCGACTTAAAGCCCTAGAGGATTTCTGAAGTAACAGTGAGTGGGGTACTTGATATTATTTCTCAAGTAAGCAATAATTCTTGAGCCTAATTCTGGAATTTTTATGGTTCTCAAAGTCCGATAGCCTTTAAAGTAGTGTTTTCCTTTGTTTTCTATTCATGGAATATTAATGAGATAATAATGAGTCTGAGAAGTTTTTATCAAAGTTTTTGCGAGTACATTCTCTACCAGATTAGCGTCCAGGAAACAATGACAGTGCCTGTTGTTTGGTAAGAAGTCAAACTAGGAATCATTAATACGCAATAAAGCAGATGGAGTGGGTGCACGAATATACAACTACTGATTCAAAAAAGTAAAGGTTGCTTTGGGCTTTGGCAATTGGACATGTTGGGATGTTGGGTATACAGAACTTACTGCAATGATTTGCTTGAGTGAGAACCAATCAAAAACTACCCAGTAGGTAATTCCTAATGCCCAAAGCAATCTTTATATAACCAGCTTTACCTAAAGCTGATGCATGTGGTATAAAAAGAATATCCATTTAAAATTCAAACTAAAAAAAAATATTTGTTACCCTTTGTCCGATTAGTGAAAAGGTGGTCGAACTACGAAACAATCTGAAACTGGGGCTTTCGTTTTTGGCACCCCTTCAGGCTGCGAGCTTATCTAAAATTAGATGAAAACCAATGATGACTTTATCACGTGCTCACATTAATTTTAATTGCCCAGAGTTGGAATCTGTCAACAGATTCTTGTCTATTACCTTGGTCAATGTAAAGTACAAATGTGGATTTCGGTGGTGTCATCGCACTCTTGCTAACATCTAAAAAAGTAAGTAAAAAAAAAACATATATTGTTTTTAAGTACATGAAAAATCTCTCATTAAGTCCACAGAGAACTACCGGTTATGGCAAAGGGTAGAAACAAACTGCACCTGTTGTGAACGTTTCTCTTCAAATGAAAAAAACTAAAAGGAAAAAAAGCCAAATGGAACGACTCATAATTGGCGGGAAAAGAATTACGTTTTGGTTTTAGACTGCTAAATAATCCGAAGTTTTTTCTTCAAAGTAGGCTTTTCAAGGCGACAAGGAAGCCCCAGGCGTGCAAGCCCCACAAACTACAGGTTTGACAGCCCGCGTTCTTGACATGCACAAAAAACGGGCTGTTTTGCAGTCTATTCTCGTCTCTGCTGACTTTGCCGAAAAAGTAATGCTCCACTTTATTCTCGTAGAAAGCGAAAAATGATAGTCAGTTATACTGGTGAACTGTGGAGAGCTTGCTGCTCCCTGCAACGATGTAGTATAGATGTTAAAATTTGTCTCTAGACTATAGCAAAAATATGAAAAAAATGTTTGTCTTCGCAGGCGTTACATTTTAATGGTAACATGATCATTCGTTTGTCTACTGACACAGATTGTCGATAATACCTCGTCATGAAAAGTTTTTTCTTGGTGCTTTTGTCAGTCTGGTTTGACTATGGCGACGCCGTTATTGCTCAAGGTGAGCAGATTTAAGAGTAGCTATTTTCCATACTACTTTACCAAGGCCCCCCGTTACCAAAGTTTGGTGTGATTATTAAGCAACAGCCGGGTTACCTCAGTTGGACGAGTGCATGTCTGCTGAGCGGAAGTCGTGATTTTAACACTGGCTTGAAAATCGCGCTGCTCCATCTCAGTACAGATGATCATGGCGTTGTTGGTTGATGGCTCTGAACCCTTTTCTCGTCATCTTTTTTTTTTTATTAATTTGAAGGGGGTGTAAAAAACCCACACTGCTTTACATAAAGAGTGAGGGACGTAGATCCGAACGCAGGTGTGGTAAATCTTCTCACGGCCAAGGAAGGGGCCGTTACAGGCCTGCGATAAGTGGCGCAAGCTGTTGTTGTGTCCCTTTAATATGTGGTGAGGCGAGAAAAATAAAGTATACAATACCCTTACGGAGTCGCTGTGAACCTTTAGATTCTCAATTGCCAGCCTCTTAGTGGCAACCAAAGCTTAACCTTTGAAAAGTTCACGTAGATCTTTGCTAAGGCCTTTCGAAAAGAATAGGCATAGATTTCTCATACTTTTAGCAATAATTGAAAAAAACTTGCTTGTTTTCCTTTCTTTTTAATGTTTAATAAAGCTTTGCCATAAACATCTGGTTCAAAGAAAACAAACACGCTGGTTTCAAATTTTTACAATTTTCTTTCAAAGAAATTGCGGGTGGCTAGTCATAGCCGGCTGTTGGGGTAAAGATGCACATTGCAAAATTGAAGATGGAAAGATTAGATATACAATGCTTAATATACGATTTTCTACCAGCGATATAACACAATTATATTAATTATTCTTTGGCAGAATGTGGATCGATTCTCAACAACACATTAAGAAGTCCCCGCTATCCAATGGAATATCCAAATAATCTGGACTGTGTCCATGAGGTCCCTATTCCACGTGGCATGGCGCTTAAAATTACCTTCAAAGATTTCCTTTTGGAGGATCCTTTCTGGATTGGCTATTGGTTTGTAGATGAAAGTTGTCCGCACTGTCTGAATGAGAGAACGCTTTTTTTTGGAATATTAGGCCAAGGCTGAAAACGTTGAGGCGAACCAATGCAAGTTGTAATTTGGGTCAACCTAAATTAAGTTTGACTCAAGTTCGTCTGTTCAGTCAGAACTAATGAAGCGTCCCTCGAACCAATAAGACTTCATCATCTGAACAGACGGACGGAACGTTTAGCTTGATCGAAACTCACTCAGACGAACTTAACTAAGACAAACGTTGATGACTTTTTATGAACTTAATTCCCCCAGTCTGGCTCATCTCATGAAAAACTCGACGTTTGGTCCTGGCCTTAAATGGTTTCGAGTAGAAAATTCAATCATCTTGACGTCAAAATCTAAAGTTCATTTTCCTTGCAAGGGTACATCTTTTCAGCCCTTATGCAAATTCTAGAGAGAAGATAGAAGACAAGAAAAACAACAAAAAACATTAACAAGGCAACAACAACAACTATGACGTCAAAAGGTTTCTATGTAGGTTGGTTGCATTTAGCATTTTTAAAGCTTTACGGAAATTTCACAAGAAGAAAATCGACTACAACTAAAGTCCTTCTGCTATTTTTTTGAAAGCAATATTATATTTAGCTTATCTTCGAAAACTGAAGTAAGTCATCGTGTTTATGATGTCAGTCCTCATTTAATATTAAGTGTATTTTTTGAATGAAATATTTTCAGTTACGGCGAGGTTTACGAGGATTACGTCAAGATCGCCGATGAGAACTACGTGCAAATCGGCTTATTTTGTGGCAAAAGTATTGGAAAAACAGTTTTTGTAGGTGGAAGGCGAGCAAGAATAACATTCCATACCAACCAGGCTGAAGGAAGAAGGGGATTTCTTCTATTGTTCACTTTTGTTTACCCAAGTAAGTGGAGCCGCGGCGACAACTATACACATCTATGCTCTGAAATAGGCCATTTTCAAGATGGCATCATATCACTGCTACGACCGTTTTCCCTCTTTATATTTACATTAAGAGCAAAAATTTTATTTTTCCCACCTCTGGTCGATATTTACAGACATCCGCTCTTAAGGCTTTGTTTACACTATACCGAATAGCTCTTGCGCCGGCACCAAAACTTACACTGGTTAGGGTGGAGCGGACCGATCTCGAAAGTGGTTCAGGGAGAACAGTTGTTCGGACCGTAGCGGAATGAGTAGGAGCGAGAATTGTAATCCAGTGAGACGGAAGTTAGTATTCAGGAGGTCGGACTGGGATTTAGTAAATGCACCAACCACTCTCCGTCAACCGCACCGGTACGATTGGATACCTTTACTCGTCAACAAGAAAAGCCATCCGTTATAGTCAGACACAACCTAACAGGTCGGCAGAAAGAAGAGGACGACTAAACTTTTGGGTGCGACTAACGTGACAGAGCTGTTGCTTGTCCTATTGCGATAGTTCACTGTGATTATGATATTGACTAGCTCACAATAAACCAGCTATTAAAATTTGCTGTACTGATCCTCACTGCAATAATATTTTTACTTTTCAAGCTTTACCCAAAATAGTACCAGCAGATCCTGCTCCTGTGGTTCGCGCTTTTCCAGGCGCCAAGCTGAGGATTTTAACTAGTGGAACACCTCCAATATTCGTAACATTGTCAAAGGATTCAAGAATCCTAGCTCGTGGAGTAAGCTCTGTAGTCATCCTACTACACCAGGACGGAAACTACAGTTGTATGGCTACTAACAATTATGGGCACGTGGAGGTAGTCAACTTCCGTATTCGATTTGTTCGTAAGTGCCCTAACCTTTGGTTCCGCTCACCGTACTTAAGTGTATAATGTTAGAGTCAACAAGAATAGTCATTGCACTGTCAGAATATTACAATTCAGAGCAGTTAAAAACGTGTCTGGTCCAGTTCTTTCGTCTAGGTATTTTTTAACTTATTCATTTTTTCTAGCTGTGTGTAATGTTCAGCACTCATTGTTGCGTGTGAGACCTTTATGACAAACTTGATTAAATTTTCAAATACAGTTGAGGTCTCAAAATGAGTAAGAGGACAATGAGTCCCTTAATTAATACTGATGAAACATACGATAATTACGGACTATCCTGAAATTAAGTATTGCGAATGGTATATTTCGGCATTTTTCTGCTATGATTTTGTGTTTGTTTTTCAGATTGCACATCTCATTGTAAACTGTCGATTAACTATCGCGACTACTTGAATACCTTTGAGTGCAAGACTATCACTTCATTCGCGCAAGTTATTGAATGTGCTCCGACCATCACTGAAAAAATGTGAGATATCATTTTGTTAATATCAGAAACCCATGAAGGGGTGAAACTTGTATCGCGGAAGGGTCTGCTTAGTATGATGTTCGTGAATTTCATCATGTTGGTAAGAACGTGACGTCACAGCGGTCATGTGGGTGATCAAGAATAGTTTAGAATGTATATCCTCTGGGAACTAGATCCTATTTTACTCTAATTTCTTTGAGAAAACAATTGTATTGTCTTGACCAGTAACATGGCCGTCAAGATTAAGTTTACGAAAAAATAATAGTCCTAACATGGTGGTTTTATCCGCGATAAATCAACCACGCTATTGTTCTTTCCCTTATAATTCCTCCCCAGAGAGCAAACACAAACAAATGAAGTCGAGTCTTGCCAGGCGTAGATCCATACCGGTTTCTACCGTTTTTCAAATTGAATTCGTGCAACTTTGACCGATTTCCTAGTTGAAATCTTGTTCATATCCACTACAACATGGAAATTGATTTGATGAAATAATCTGCCGATTTGCAAGGCTTCATCCGAGAATGAAATTGGCCAATATCCTGTCTGAATGACTCAGAAACCCAGGAAAGGGAACTTTAAGGAGTTGAAATCCAAAAAATATCCTGCGGGAGCAGGACTTGTTCAAAAAACGCAATGTTCCCGTGGGAATCTAGCTTCTGCCTTGATACATTACGCAAACGTATGTACGTACACCAAGGTCCTGGAGAGAATTCTTTGCAGTAACATCAAATGGTCTTGAAAGGGAAAACTTTTATCGGTCGCAGAACACTAGGCGACAAGTTGCAGCAACACGTGGCGGCCACAGGTCACTCCTTGTGTACGGGTTGGGCGACTAGTTGCAGCAACAAATAGCGGCGACACGTCGCAGTGACAAATCGCTTCGTGTGTTTTGGAGAATTTGTGTGAAGATCTTTGTCTCAGCAACAACATTTTGTCGCTGCAACAAGTTGCAAAAAATCAAATGTGTGAGACTTGTTGCAGCGACAAAAACCTTTTGCAGAGACAACGATTTTACGATTTTTACAAAAAAAATTCTACAATACACACGAAGCGATTTGTCGCTGTGACGTGTCGCCGCGAAATGTTGCTGCAACTTGTCGCCCGGTGTGTACCGATCTTAATGTACAAGTGATCTACAGAAACCCGTGTAAAAGCTTAACCAAGTCATGCATGCTCAGATAGTAGAGTTGCTTACTACGGATTCATCCTAGGGATATAGCGTCAAACAAAATAGGAGAGCTACCCGAAAAAGCATTTACAAACCTGCGACATCTGTTTTTTCTGTAAGTCCAAAAATAACTTTTACTTTATTTTTAGTACTAGTTTTTGCTATGTTAACTCTGCAATTTAAAACTAAAGAGGAAATTTCAGAAAACTCCGCAAGACATTTTCGCTGCCGTATCGACGACGTGGTCGTGTGAGCTCCTTATTAGAGAGTTTCAGCTACACGTATACGTCAAACGTCATACAAGATTTTTTACCACGTGACCAAGTTTCCCCTTTTATTGTCTTTTACTTTTCAATGTTTACACACATGAATTAGTATTTTCACACACCTTTTTATCCATAAGAATTGTTTTGAGCTGTTCTTATCTGCTCATTTTCTATCTTGAGAAATTCTCAACCTAAATCAGACGTTTGCCGTTTGCCGTATACGTGAAGCTTAAACTCTCTATTGAAAGATGATAAGCGGCTAAGAATACCAGTTGAATTCCGATGTTTAACTTATAATTATCCAATAAAATGTAAGATTAGACTTGTTTCATTATCCTGCAAAGTGCTCCTATTTTTACAGCCAGCTTTTCCCAGTGTTCCTTATACAGGTCTGCTCATCACATGCACATCACGTGTGACTCCCCCTTTTTAACCATAGATATTCTTTTTTACACTCTATCATCATTTCTCCTTTCCGCGTAAAATTCGACAGGGATATATCTAACAACGCCATACCGTTCCTACCAGAGGGCATATTTTATCACCAGCTACATTTGGAGCAGCTGTAAGTCCTTCTCCAATACTTATAGCTCTGTCACACACTAAAAATGCTTCGGTTTTGTCATTCTAGGTTGCCATTTTTTCTGCATTTTTAATCTCAGAACTGTTTTCAATGTAACTACCAATTCTCATCCACAGTGGTATTCATATTTCAGCGGCTTAGATTAATTTATACTCGCTTTTCATTTCGATCATAGGCGAGTCCATTCGATCAATTCAAAATAACAATAATTTTAATAATAATAATAAGAATAATAATAATAATACAAAAAAATAAAATAAAATAAAAAAAACAAGTTGACCAAGTAAGCTTGCGTTCGATATAGCCATTAAATTTACATAATTTTATGGCTGGCACATAATGCAACGCCCTGTAGCATTGCAGCTAAATGAGAGCGCTAAATTAATAGTTCGTATTCAAAGGTACAGCAATAAAAAACACACACAAAAAGGGTTAACGTAACTGTAGAAAAACCTATAGCAAACTCAAACGATTGTCCTCTCCAAATGCGTCACGTCGAACAACATGGGAAAACGAGACGGCAAAATCCTAAGGAGGTCAGCGGTTAAAGTTGCGTCATGACTTGGATGATTACCCACTTCATTCTTGGCATTCAGAACGACGCGACGGTAAATTTGTTCCACGCTGAATGTATGTACAAGATGCAAACAACAACTACAAATTTCAAAGCCTTTCCTTGATACTTTCAGAGGACCAAAAGTGATCGATCATTGACTTTTTTGCTACAAGCCAACAGAACTAATGCTTGTAGCAGTTGAAGCCATCGTTTGAATTAATAAAAACAAAAGTCAAGATAGCGGCAAGCTAAGAAATTTTCACCAAATGCTCCATTTTTAAAACATTTTCAATTGAACCAAACGATTATTTTTGTCCTTTTTCTTCCATTCATCGCACGAAACCCACCAGTGCACGATATCGTACCTAATTTTCCCATGACAAACCACATTAGGTCGTGGTGGTGCAATCGGCTAATCCGTCCGTCGGGGGTGTCGGTTCAAACCCTGGGTAAGCGAAACACTAAATAATTATTTCTTCCTCGAACAAATTAAAATATTTATTGTAGCCAAGAGCCATGATGGAACAGAGACGGAAACGCTCAGTCTAGCCCTAGGTATATGTGAATTTCGCCAAAGTTATTTTTAAGCGAATTAAACGCTTGACATTATCGGGAATAGGTCATTCCGATCTTTTTCGTTTTTCCTTTCATATTTAAATTCGGTAATCCCTGTGAAATTTAAACAACAAAAAACCCCTAATTTACACAAGAAAACAAAATCGTAAAGGATTCTTGTCGTGGTAGTGAAATGACGTCATCGTGCAAATGGCTTATTGGTTCCCGGAGAGGTCCGGAAACGTTTATTCAGCGCTGTCAAGAGAGGAAAGGAGAAGATAATGGCGTCCCGCGTGGAGGTGCGTTTCATCGACGAAAACAATTTTGTAAACAAAGGAAATGGTTTCATTGATAGGTCCCGACTGGGAGCTAGTTTCCACCATTTTGTTGGAGTTGAATGATTTGCTAGATGACATATCAGTTATTTAGGAGGAATTGAAGTCCATGGACAGCTATCCTGGTGGTGAAATTTCAATTTTGCAG